TTTGTTATTGACTGATAAACTGATTTGCTCTTTGGTTATGGCCATGTCTCTGTGGCGGGCAATGGCGTTTTGACCTTGTTCTGCAGTTGTGGCTAACTGACACATTACAACAACAACAACAACAATAAGAAAAAGAAGAGCTTGCCATTGATTTTGGTTGTAATTTGGTAGCCAAACAATGCCAGATGCAAACTTGTATATTTATGTCTGTTCAGTCTGATCACTTGGCATTGCACTTTCCACTTTCCACTTTCCGCTTTCCACTTTTCCGCTTTTCTCATTATTTTGTTTCGTTTGTGTTTTTTTGATATTTGTTGTTTCTTTTCGTTTCTTGTTTAACTTGTTGTACAATGTTTTTTAGTTTTTGCGTAATGCCCAACTTTTAGCCAGGCATCTGGCGTAAGCTGCATTGTTTTGCCAAATGTTCTTTTTTATTTTTGCCTCGCTGCCAGAAGGCAAGAATAAACATACATATAACATAAATATTAAGAATATATATAAATATATATTTATATATATAAACGTGAACAGATAGTAACTTACACAGTTACTCAGTTACTGTCAGCAGCAGCAATTTCGTTGATTTGGATAGCCTCTAGTTAAGGAAACGTTGTAAAACAACTGTATAAAAGTTTTTTTATGGCACATATATATTAGCTTTAATGGTGCAAGATTGTAGGGGCAGTATTTACTGAAATGTTTGCATAAGAATTCATTTAAATGTCTTAAATGCCTAGTATAGCATTTAGACCATAGTTAATAAATCATGTACACATCCTATCGATAAATATCGATTATAGTAGATGTCAATTGAATTGCTTTCGGTATACAATACAATACGACAAATCGTGTAATTAGAGAGTTTACTGCAAAATAAAATATACTTAAAATATAGCTAAGCTTGATTAAAATTGATAATTTATCGAAAGTAAAAAAAATTAATTTTATATAAAGCTAAGCTATATAGAACAGAAACTCTTAGCTTTATATAAAATTAATTTTTTATATATATATATATATATATATATATATATATATATATATATATATATATATATGTATATCGATAAGCAAATATAATAATGATATAATAATAATATAGACTCTTTCTTATATTATTTAAAATTTAAACACGAGATCTCTATGATATTTTAACTTATTCCCCAGCTACCTGCAATCCGATAAAAATCTATAAATATCGATTTTTAGACTTTGATTTTTGACCAGTCGCACATTAGGAGCTCCTCACGTATACAATTGAAGTATACATTAAGAAATTGAAGCTTATAACAACAGCATATAACTCATATTATCTATATAGAACATATAGCTCTTAAATTATATTTGATGTTGACTGAATCGATAATGTTAATCTATAATTTTTAAGCATATATCTATTAGAATAGCAACAAGCTATTAGAATACCTACAAATAATAACTCTTAGATTATAGTAAACTGCTATGAATACGAAATATCGATAAATATCGATTTACAATCTTTCAGTTGTCAGCATTGTCGCATATTAGACAAAGTAGAAATATAAGTAAGAGCTTAGATTCGACCAGATTTCGTATAAGTTTCATGCAATTAGTATATTAAAGCTTTTAAATTTGTTTATTTCTTCTATCTCACATTTACTTTGCCCACTCTAGCATACCTCATTCACATCTCTTGATTTTTGCTGATTTGAATATCACGTTCTTGGTTATTCACAAGGATCACATGTGAGCACGATTGGTATTAAACGGATGTTCAAGTGAAAATGATTCAGTCCTTGAAGTGGCAATCCATGAAAGCCTCAATGAGCTGTTGATTGACTGAATGTTGAGGCCAAAAGTGCCACCAACAGGCGGCGCACAATGCGGCTAAGACAAAGCGCCAATAGAAAGCACTCAGCACTCAAGCACAATTCCCTCGCTCTCTCCGTCAGTCGTCTGTCTGTCGGCGTTCCGATGTTGAAGTCCCGACTCTTCTCAACTCAATGAATGAAAATTTCGTACGCAGCAGAGATTGATGACGCACTTGAAACGCTGCCAACTCCAGCTCCAGCTTGAAGTCCAGCTGCTGCTGCTGCTGCTTGGATTCGATTACTTGTACTCGTACTGCCACTCGTTTATATATTCAGATAGTCTGACTAGTCAGATATATGGCCGGTGAGTGCTTCAGTCCTTGCTACTTGATTAACCATCAGCAGCTGAATGGCCTTTTCCACAGACTTTGTGCTCGGTGCAGCGCACTTATCCGGCATTTTGTTAGCTTGACATCGAGCACATGGCCAGCGAGTTGCCCAACTTGGCTTGAATGTTATTACCGGAATGTGCACAAGTGCGGCCAAGTAAAAAATTTGCATACCAAGCAAAGTGGTTGACAAAAAAAGTAACAGAATAAAAGCAAGAAAAAAAATGTTCGTCGTTAAATGCGCTGCAAGTGGCAACGATGCCCATTCGACTGTTGGCCATAAAAATGCCTCAACGACGTGATATATACCCTCCTGATTACATACATATTTAGATATGTATGTGTGTGTGTTTCTGCCTCTATTGAAAGCTTTTTTCCCCAAAAAGAGGCATTTTTCTTTTACTTTTTTTTATTTTTACTTGAGCAATTTCTTTGAAATTAATTCTCTTGGTTTTAAAATTTTCATCTAGATTGACCTCGTACTTAGGCAATTTTATTGCTATGCGGCAGAGTGAAGCTGGAAGCTGCAATTTATCTGCTTTAAGTATAAATTGCAGTCGCTTTCCCAAGCTCTATCTGTTGCCCCTCTTGGCCCTACTTCATCAATATGTCTAGTTTGCTCGTTATTAACTCAATTCTTTTTCCTTACGTTGTCTACTTGTCTATGTTCTACATCTGCCACTCGCTTCATCTCTCTCTTATTCTCTCTCTCCCTATCTCTTTCTCTATCTATTTTTATCGCTTTCCCTTCACTCTCGCTCATTTTTTTTTGTACTGTCTTACTCTGTATATTTCTTTCTTTGCCACTCTCTCTCTTTCCGTCTCTTTCTCTTTGTGCATTACTCTTTCTCTCTCTACTCTCTCCACTCAATATCCTTTTATTTACTCTCTTTCGCTCTCTCTCACTTTTTCTGTCTATTTCTCATTTTTCCACTCATCTTTTCTCTTTCTCTCTCTTCTTCCCTCTCTCTCACACACTATTTATCTCTCTCTCCCCCTATCCCGCTCTCTCTAAAAGACTCTCTTCTTCTCTCTCTCTCTCATTCTACATGTTTCTCTCTTTCGCTATATTTACATTTTTACTTGAGTCCTTCGTCTCGACTCGTTATTAATTTGTCACTCACTCGCTTCAATTAATTTTCATATACAGCCTTTCTATGCGATTTTCATTAACGACAAGCTGGCTCATAACTCATATTGCTGTATACCATAGACGCAAGCACTTGAAAAACATAATATTAGCATAACATTTGAAATATGACTAGTTTCCTAGTCGCCATGTCTCCGCTGGAGCACGGAATACAAAGCTCTCGGAGATACATTTGAATATATATTTCCATCACAATCAAAGCACATAAATTATTTGTTTCGCAACTATTTATTATTTCAAATTACGCGAAAATCTAAAACTTTGACAACAGAAAGTGAAAAGCATTTTTCTTTTTGTCTTTCAAAGAACCATTTGTCAGTTTCGCATCTATGGGTGGGTGGCTGCCATTTGTTTGGGCCACAAGTTTTGCTCATGTTTCACTGACTATCAATCAGCACAATCTAAGACAACAAAAGTTTTCGCCGCCTCGCCTCGAGCCACCCGACCCTCACCATCTCAGCTGGCAATAAACATTCGCTCATGTTTAATGTGGGCTGACTGAGAAATTTCTTTTAAATTCAGGCCAAAGAACATGGGACGTAGCTGTCGAAGCAGCTGTCATATTTACATATCTGTGGCGTCTCCCACATTATTTGGCATTTGATACTGACAGTGCCCTCTTGTATATATTAAATTAATGGAATGTCGAAGTCGAAGCCGAGCCCGAAGCCGTTTATGTGACTTTCCATTGCCGTTTATTGAATCTATGACATTTCACATTCTGCTCGACAGTTGTTGTCAAAGCTGTGGCATCCAAAGACCTTGATAGACCTCTGCATGGATTCAATTTTCAAATCGAATTTAAATATGAATCATGAATTTTGAAATTGTAAAATTATATGCCAAATTAATTGTATATAATATAATATAATATAAATATTTAGTTTTAATTTTTTATTTTACTTTTATTTATCCATATTTATTACATATATTTTTGCTACAAATATTATAACAATAAAATTGTGTATTACTAATTAAATACAGTTTTATAATATTCATTTATTTATTCTTTAATTTAATTTGCTTAAGCCATACTTATATTTATTTTACAATTTTCTACTTATAATAAAATAAATCATTTTTATTTTAATTTATTATTTTTGCTATATTTTTTTATTGTATTATTTTTTATTATTCTAAACAAAATTTGTTCTCTTTAAAATACGAATCTGTAGCACCTGAAGTTTCGTTGATATTGCAAAATTTTATGCTGAGCTTAACAATTTAAGCACATAAATGATAATGTCCATTACGAGAGTGTAGTAAGAGCTCTTGACCCACATATTTTATGCATTGCACTCATATCTCTAAGTACACACACACATCACTTCGGGCTAAAACCCAATTTGGGTTTACTTTACAAAAATGGAAAAAAAAACTCAACTAATGCAGCATTTCACATTTATTCGCTCTTTTTTGCAGTCAAAGGATATGCAAAGCAAACCAAAAGGACGTGAAGCAGCTGCAGCCAGCGGGCTTTAGGGACTTAACTCTAATTAAAAAGCATTTCGCGTTTGTGCTTGTGTCTTTGAATTACATAGTACGAAAAAAAATCTAAATAATATAATATAATAAATATTAACATTATAATAATTATGTGTTTTATGTGTGTTAAATTATTAAGGGATTTGTGAATTCAACTGCTCAAATAGTGTTTGGTCAAGAGGTAATAACTTTGGGCATGCGGCTGCTGTTACCACAACTGTTGCATGCAACATGGATGGCGAAAATCGGATTATATTAAATGTGGGCGGCATTAGGTGAGTGAAATATATTGTTAAACTTTCCCGAAATATCGAAACATTTTATAAGCTTACTTTGCTTATTCTATTCTTAATTTCCAAATGTTAACAACAATTTTCATTTCATATTTGTCCATTAAATACCGGAACTATATAGTTTACATTTAATTTTACAACATATTTAATAGAAATAAATAAAAATAGAAAGAGAGAGACAAACATACAAGAGCTGCAAATTTTTGTGATAGTTTTCGTATTGCGGTTACGTAAAGCATATTAATTTTTATTGCCACCAATATACATGTCACTTGATGCATGTTTTTTTGCCAACCGCAGTGTAAAATTAACTACATAGATTCTGCGCTTATCTACAATTTATTTTTTGTATTCAGTTGAGAAAACAGCAAGCCACAAATCGGACTAAAAAATTAACTAAAATGTGTAAATCGGATTGCAGAATTCATTAGAGTAGAAATATATACACAAAAATATATGTACAAAACGGCTATCAGGAATGCCGCTAAATTTGCAAATACAAAATGCATAATTAGGGAATATAAAAACATTTTTATACTATAAATTTGATTATAAAATTTTTTTATTTTATATTTTATAATAAATAAAAATATTATATATATACAAATTATAGTTGATATATATTCATATATATAAATAATTATTTATTTTTTTATTTATTTTACTAATAAGTATTTAAAAAATAAATCCTTAACTTTCTCGTGCAAATTCCACTCCGATAAGTAACACTGTTCAAACACATTCGCATCATCAAAAGTAAACTAAAGTCAATTCGCAGCTCTAAATAAAAATATTATTATGTATATATAAAAAAGGATGTGCTGGCTTCCGACGAATACAAACAGAGCATAAAATTGTATCTCCTAAAGTTTCGCACGAGCTTGAAGTCTACTTGAGCTATGCTCTGGCTAAAGATGCCTGAGCTTAGGCTTCATATCAAAAATGTCTCAACTCAGCTCAGCCATCACATATAATATACATAAATATAAGTATATATATAAATATATATATATATATATATATAGTTTTCTTGTATTGCAATATTGATTTACACATGAAAATCGCTTCACGTCGCGTTTCTTTTTTCCGGCCCAAGTGGAACACGCTGAGAAGTATTAAGTACTCTATATGTGAGTAGAGGGGGTAAGTGCTGCAATATGTATATGTCACACTACTCGAATGTTTGTTCAAGCATTGTGCACAACTTAGCGACTGCATAGGGAGAGAATCTATTTGTGTAAGTGTGTGTGTGAGTGTGTGTGTACGTGTCTGGGACTTCTGGCTGTTACACCGTGACATAAGGGTAGGAGGTGAGCCGCATGCTTTTTGTAGCATACTTATGCGGGTCAGAGCTGCCCGACTCTTTTGCCTGTGCTGCATGGCATCATGCTGTCACATCGCAGATGTTTTTAGCACAAACACAAGCACACACACACACATATATATATATATATATATATACACGTGTACAGAGCAACTCAGTTACATGGCCGAGCTAGTTCTTTTGTGTGTATATTTTTCGCTAAATATTGTTTGCTATTTTGCCAAAGTTTCACATTGAATAAAAGTTTTCGCTTTAACTGAAACGAAAGGGCAGTCACAACTTCTGTGACTGTGTGTCTTTAGTTCATCGTATTCTAAAAGAGTATTCTCGTTTCGTTTTGAATTTTTGACGTGCTTTTGTTCTATTTAAAATTCTCAGAAAACTGATATCATTATTTTGAAGCAGGAATACATTGTGAAGAAGTACAGATTTTTATTTTAAAATACAATCAAAAAGCATGCCAAGAATCAAGTGGGGCCAATTATGGAGACTGTGTAGCAACTCGAATTTCCAGGAATATTTTTATTAATTAACTCTAAGTCACAATGTCAGTAGTACTCTATAAATCCAGAAAACTTAAAAATGTTTTTAAAATAATTTAATTGGACTGAGAAAATTTCCTTAACAATCAATCAAATACTTAAAACATTCCTAAGCAAATAAATATATATAATTATAATAAAAATCTTTTTTTTTATATTTTAAATAAAATAATATTTAATTTAGCTAAACTCCAGTTTGTTATTTCTATCAGCATCAAAAGATTTAATAAATATTCTTAACTTTTATTTATACTACGCCTTCAGTAATCAGTTGCTCTTGGCTTAAGCCCTTCAGTGTATTTATATATATTTATTTATATGTATATACATTTGTTTTAATTTATATTTTGTTCAAAGCTTCATTACAATCATTTGCCATAGACCTCGTTTCAGTTCAGAGCACTTAATCGCTTTGCTATGGGCAGTGAAAGCGTATTTAATCATCGCTTTTTATTTTCCCTTTTTATTTTTGTGGCTTGTCTGCAAACTTTCACTTAATCATTATACGAAAATAATTCTTTTCCTTCTTTCTGCGCTCTATGGATCTTTTTTTTTTGTCAAACAAAAATAATTCTGGTTTTTGTCATTCTGAATGTAGCTGTCAGTAAGTCTCTGTGTTGGGATGCGTGATTCTTATCATTGTGATTACGTGCTGCTCTCTTTGTCATAAAAAAAGCGCACAGTCAATGGGCGGTTGCGTTGTGAACGTGGGAGTGGCAAAGTTGCGGCGGGGGGTTGGGCGTTGGTAGAAGGTTGAAATGGCATACATGATGGGCGCTCCATTGCTTCGCTCATCAACTCAGACAATTGCGCTCTGATTGTATCTGTGATACAGCAGACGTACACACACACGCACACGCACACACACATGCACACGCACACATGCAGGCAATAAAGTTTCTGCTGTGGTTGCTTTCAACACAAATACATTATACTTAGTGCCGTTAGTTGTGTGCTGTTGTCGCTAGCTTGTGCTCTGCCATTCGTTGTCGCCATTGCCATTTTTGTTGTTGTGTTTCTTTGGGTTTCTCTTGGCCTTTGCTTGTCTAGCAACTGCGCTGCCTCCACCTCGGCTGCCGCTGCCCGGCTTGGCTTTGCCTTTGAATCTTTGATATTGTGTGCGAATTAAACGAAATGGCTAATGAAAAGTTTAACAGTCAATAAATAAAAGAGGGAGCATTCACGACTAGCACAAAGTGGGCGACCACAGACAGTTGTCTATAGCTTCATATATATATATATAGATGTTTTTGTGTGTGTTCTTGTCGCTTCTAACTGTTGACTTTCCATACGAATTCAATTTCAAGCCTAGTTTTGCAATTAAATTCAATTTGTTTGCAATTCAACTAAATTTTTTTCGCACTTTTTGTCGCCCCAACTATTTTTGTATTCTCTTTCATCAAATTCATTTGCATATTTTAAATTCTTGTTCGATTTAATTTTTATATATTTCTTGTTATATTTATTCCAACTCTCATTTTATTTTGCAATCAATGAAAACGTAATTGGTTTTCATATTTCATACGACATTTGTGGTTCACAATAAATATTTCTTTAATTTTTTTGTTCCTTTTATATAAATTTATTTTGTGCTTACATTGCAGTTGCTATTGATTGAGTTTCATTTAAATTCATGCTGTTTCAATTTGAATAAGTAATAAATATTTTTGAATTATTAAATGTTATTGCTAGTGCTGAAATATTGAAGACATATTGTAGAATCGTTTAAATTTTTTATTCACTGTTTTTAACTTAAATTTTTTTTCAATTACTAAGAAATATTTTAGTACTTTTTACAATTTAAATTATCTTTCTATTCAATTTAACATTATATTCTTTTAAACGTTAAACCAACTAAGTCACATTATGCATTCGCTCGACTTACCCTATCAAATCTTGTCCGTTTACCGAGACGGCGAGAAAAACTGCTGACAAGGTTCTTGCGGTAAGCAACGCTGCAGCAACAAAAAGAAAAAAGTCAAGTAAGAAGAAGACATAGAAAATTCGTGGCATTTTAAGCGCTGAAGCAGTCGCTTAGAGCCAAGTGTCAGAAACAATGGCTCCAAAGACAATGGCCAAAAACCAACAAGCAACAATTGCAACAACAACGAGGCTCCATATTAAGAGGAGCCACGTTGCAGGAGCAGTCGGTAGCAGGAACAGTCACAACGAGCTGACAAAACCGCAAGCAACAAGGGGCACAATTTAAAAACAACAGCTGCGCATTTCATTCTGCAAAACTGTAACAATAGAAAGGAGCTAAAAATAATAAATTGCGAGTTGACACACTTGCAGAATACCCTGCATTAAAATATAAATAAAGGTTTTCAGGATAATGAATTTTAAGAGTATTCAAGCTGTCAGGAAAAATTCACAAATATTTTTAAAAATATTCAAATATTTGCAGTTTAAAAAAATTTATTTACTTTCGAAAACAAAAAATTTAAGTATGAGCAAACAAGCTTAAATATAATTACATTATAGAAATAGCTCAAGCATACCCTATCTGCACCACCTTAGTTATAGGGTATATTGAACTGAAACAAAGCAAAGTGTAGGCGCGAATATGAGTAATAAATAACTTGGCTGCTACTTGAATTGTTTTTTATTCTCTCCTATGGCTTTGCTTTATTGTGGTTTCCCTTTTAGCTTTCTAACTGTTTACAATGGCCAACGGCCCGCTCCCTGCTCTACCCTCTCTACCTACATCACTGCAGTGTTGCTGTCAATGTGTTTTTGGCTCTACGCTTCATTAACTTCTTGTTATTTAATACACTTTCCTTTCGAATTTCCGTGGCGTATTTTCCGGCCTGTTGTCAGTCTATCAGAGGTTCCTTAAATGCCAGAAGTCCTGCGGGGAATATTCAGAGATGAGTTAAGGGTCTATGATAAAATATTTGTGGTGGAAATTGAAAAAATAAAACAAGTTTGCCAGCAAATTCGAGAAAAAGGATTTCACAACAAATGAAGTCCTTTTATAGATTTTGCTATAAGCAAAACTGTAGCTGTTCCGAATAGTCAGTTGACATATTTTAAAGTCTTTGCTTAAATTTTGTGAAGCATTCCTAAATCTGTAGCTTAATGGATTTTTTTAAATATATATATAAGAAAGATAA